CCCGGACCCAGAGCTGCCTCGTAACTTTCTTTCTACATAGCACCCGCTCTCAGTCTTACGCACCACTCAAGGGTGCATAAAAACGAGTTACCACCCGTGCAGAGCATGTCTGCGTCGATTAGTGGTTAAATCACCTCGTGGTGGCTTTAAATCGGTGTCAGTTGCTATGCAACTTATACGATAATGAGAGAAATGCTCTCGAGAAGCCGGGTGTTAGACCTACCCGTGGACAGCCTTTTTTGCGTCTGAGTGTTGCTCCTCCATGAACAGTGAAAGGAAAGCCGCTTAAATCGAGAGAAGAAGAACGGGCTTCAGCTATCCACAAACATTCAGAGGCCGGGAGTCGAACCCAGAACTACCTCCTAACCTTCGCCTGTGAATATAAGAAAGGCCGTATCCGCTACACCACATCTGACTTCCTGCCCTTCAATCCTCTCCATCACTACCAACGAGCAAAGAAAGTCGAGAACAACAAAAAACCACTTTTCCATTCAGACACCAGGATTCAAACCCAGGGCTGCCTCCTAACTTTCATCTCCATAATGAAAAGGCCTTGTTCCCCACACCACACCTGATTTCATTCCCTTCAATCCTCTCCATCAATACCGACAAGCAAAGAAAGTCGAGAGAGAAAAACTTCAACTTTCCACGAACATTCAGACATCAGGAACCGAACCCGAGATTGCCTCCTAACCATCGGCTACGCGCTACATGCAGAGGCCGTGTTCCCTACACCACGTCCGATTCATTAGGCTCCTTCCTCTCCGGTGTGAATACCCCTCCCAACGCGTCACCGAGAGCAAAAAAGTCAAGTTCACTGGAGCACTCAGACGCCGGGACTTGAACCCGGATTGCCTCCTAATTCCATGCACAGCAGGACAGAGGCCGTGTTCCACTACACCTCATCTGAGTCCCTCCTCCTCTCCTCCCCGCTCACATACTCAAACCAAAGGACTTTCAAGTCCGAGAGCAAAAAAAAGCTGAAGCCAAACATTCAGACGCCGGGAGTCGAACCCGGAGCTGCTTCCGACTTTACTAGATTGCTGTCATGTAATTTGGAGAGGCCGTGTTCCCTACACCACATCCGAGTCCCTGTATATATCTTTTCCTCTCCTCCTGAGATACCCACCAGCGACGCTCAAAACAAATGGCCATGGAGTCGAGAAAGAAAAACACCCAGTGACCAATGCATTCAGACGCCGGGATTCGAACCCAGGATTGCCCTCTAATTCGGCCATAGCAATTAAGCAGTATCAGAAGCCGTGTTCCGCTACACCACGTCCGTATTGGCATCAAGGATGCAGGGCGGAGTGAGTACAGTACATGCATACATACCAGTGCACAGAAAGCACGGGCCTTGTGGACCGCGAGCCGCGAACACCAAAGTAGAGGAGGCCAAAGCAAGGTGTAGCGACAGGTCCACCGAGTAGGTAAGTATGTATGTATGTAGCGCCCTAGGTAAGCAACAAGTAAGGATAGCAAGTGAGATATAATACATCCGTGGAAATCCCGGTGTGATATGTAAGGTAGGTAGATGAGCACAGCACAGCGTAGCGCGGCGAGTGAGTAAGGAAAATGTACAAGGCGGAGGGCACACATGCATTGTACACCACGCACGCACGAGGGGAGGGGGAGGAGGTATAACACACTGGAGTTCGTGGTCCCAGCACGACTCGACAGAAGCAAGACGCACCACGACGAAAGGCCGCCGGTGAATCCCATCCGCATCCGCATCTAGGCGCGGAGGCAGCTCCACCTACCCCTCGTATCCAGCAACAACATCCCGCGCCGCCCATAACCGCGAACCGGCAGACCCATAAGTAAACACGACAACCCGCAGCGTCGGCGCTCCACGCCGCACGCCACGCCGCTCCACACCGCCCGCGCCACTACTCCGGCCGAGCAGCCCGCTACTCGAGCCCGAGCGCCCACGCGCTCTGCTGGCGCTCCTCCAGCTCGCGGATGCGTGCCTTCGTGCGCGCAGTGTTCACGTCCCGCCCCCCGCGCTCGAGCTGCGCCTGCGCCGCGCGCAGCTCCGCGGCGAGGTACGCTTGGCGCGCGGCGGGCGAGCTCCCTGCGGCGGGCGGGGCCGCGGCGTCGGCGCCGAAGGCCGTGGGCCAGGAGCTCTGCGCGGACGAGGGCGGGTAGTGCCCGAGGGGCACGGCGTCGCGCTCCGCCGCGGGGAGCTGCGTCTGCTGCCCGGCGTTTTGCGGGGTCGGGGCGGGGACGGGGAAGGGCTGCTTGGCCATGGGCGGGCCGGAGGCGGCGCGGGCGGCGTCGAGGCGGTGGGTGCGGCGGCGGACGAAGAGCCAGCGGACGAAAAAGAGGGAGAAGAGGGCGACGACGACGGCGATGGAGACGCCGACGATGAGCCCCACGGGGGCCTTCCCTTGCTTGTCGGATTTGAGGTGCTTCGTCGGGTCGGGGCTGGGTTAACAGGTGAGTGCGATGGATGGATGGGAACGGGGAGGAGGGGCTGACCGGTGGGAGTGGCTTGTGGTGTCGACGGGGGCGGCGACGCCCGAGGTGGCGGTGGGGACGAGGGTGATGGAGCGCGGCTCAAGCGGCGCGGGGGTGGCGGCGGGCACGGCGGTGAGGAGGATGGCCATGGCGGCGGGGAGGTGTGCGTTGTCAACAACAATGAGAAGAGCTCATTAATACAATGTCTCGGCGCTGTCACCCCGTTCCTAATACGCGCAAACATCAACCCCGTCTGATGCATCGCGTGCAGATCTCGTTGCTGTCGACGTCGTCCGTTGGCGCCTCTCCGTGACTCTATTCGATCTACCGCGTTCTTGTTTGCCGCGTTCCTTTCTGCGTTTGGCGCCCGCTCAGGCTCTCCCGTCCTCAGCGCCTCTCGTTCACCTTCGAATCACGGTTCTCCCGCTGGCTTGGCAGGCACGCACACTCCCACGCACCCACATACTGATATCCGGCGCATGCACGGCGCCGACATACCCATATATCTCCCTTCCTTTCATTCTCCATGCCAAATCCATTCTCATCCCAAATCCATTCTCCTTCCGATCCCGCAAATCACTCGGAGCCGCCGCTGCATGCAGACTGCCATTCGCTGTCCTGTGACCTGTCCACCCACGTCTCGGTATCCTATTGGATCAATAGATGTCTTCAATCTTGATCCTACCCCAGGTAAAGCAGGCTCTCCCCACGATTGCCGTCCTTCGACCGGTATATGCTACTTACCCGGCGCCGGCGCCAAGCGTGTCTGGGTGGCGCGGTCCTCGTCCTCAGGCCTAGGCAGCCATCGCCCAGACGACTAGTCAAGGACCACACCTCCCACGCACGCCGGCGTCCCCGAAGAAGTTTATTAATCTGATTAGTATTACCCAGTACTGCATCTGAACCGCCCGCTCATTCACGGTATCATGCATCTCGCCCCACATCCCGCACCCGCATCCCGATCCTGATCCCGCACCCGCACTCGCGTCCCGATCCCGCACCCGCATCCCGATCCCCATCTCACAGCTCACGACTCCTGAAATACGACCCGGTAGCGCACGGCCGCGCCCCCGCACCGTGTGGATATAGAACTCATAATGACATAGCAGCGGGACGCCCTGGTTCGACTCCAGGCTGGGTCATGGAAAGTCTTCAAGCCACCTTTTTCTGTGGGTCTTATTCAGTGACAATCGTCCTTTTTCTTTCTTTCATCTATCGCTGAGCATCGCGTAGTGCACGCCAAGAGGCTCACCACCGTAAGCACGAGACCCAGTGGCGGATGGTCCGCGCCCGCCCCATGTAAATGCGAATTCTCGCGAGTCTGGCAGCGAGAAGTCCTGGTTCGACTCCAGGCTGGGTCATGCTCCGCGGCATCGGTCCTTTTTCTTTCTTTCATCTATACCTGAGCATCGCGTAGCGCACTCCAAGAGGCTCGCCACCGTAGGCATGAGACCCAGTGGCGGATGGTCCGCGCCCGCCCCATGTAAATGCGAATTCTGGCGAGTCTGGCAGCGGGAAGTCCTGGTTCGACTTCAGGCTGGGTCATGCTCCGCGGCATCGGTCCTTTTTCTTTCTTTCATCTATCGCTGATCATCGCGTAGCGCACTCCAAGAGGCTCACCACCGTAAACATGAGACCCAGTGGCGGACGGTTCGCGCCCGCACCGTGTAAATGTGACTTCTGTCGAGTCTGACAGCGGGAAGTCCTGGTTCGACTCCAGGCTGGGTCTTATTCAGTAACGATATTCCTTTTTTTCTCTCTTTCATCTATCGCTGATCATCGCGTAGCGCACTCCAAGAGGCTCAACACCGTAAGCATTAGACCCAGTGGCGAGTGGTTCGCGCCCGCACCGTGTAAATGTGAATCCTGTCGAGTCTGGCAGCGGGAAGTCCTGGTTCGACTCCAGGCTGGGTCTTATTCAGTGACGATAGTCCTTTTTTTCTCTCTTTCATCTATCGCTGATGACCCCTTGCTTGAAGAGGCTCCGGAGTAGGGGAACGAGACCCAGTGGCGAATGGTTCGCGCCCGTATCGTTTAATATGCACGCTGGCGAGTTTAGCAGCGGGAGGTCCTGGTTCGACTCCGGGCTGGGTCATGCATCGTTCTTGGTTGACTTTTTGGCTCATCGCTGATGTTCGCTCACGGATCTACCGAAGTTCCGCAGTACAAGAACGAGACCCAGTGGCGAATGGTTCGCGCCCGCGCCGTACATGTGAATGCTAGCGAGTTTGGCAGCGGGAGTCCCTGGTTCGACTCCAGGCTGGGTCTTGGCCTGTAGCGATGGACTTTTTTCTCCCTCCTTCATCCATCGCTGACTATCCCGTAGCCCACTCGATGAGATTCCAGACTAGAGGAATGAGACCCAGTGGCAGATGGTCCGCGCCCATACTCTGTGAAGACGTGGAGTGGAGTATCAGCGGGAGGTCCTGGTTCGACTCCAGGCTGGGTCATAGTCCGGTGGTGAGAAGATTTTTTCTCCCTCCTTCATCTATTGCTGATCATCGTAGCGCACTCCAAGACGTGCCGGAGTAGGGAAATGAGACCCAGTAGCGCACGGCCGCGCACCCGCACCGTCTGCAACATTCGAGATATAGCAGCGGGAGCTCCTGGTTCGACTCCAGGCTGGGTCATGCATCTTTGTCAATCACCCTTTTTTCTCGCCCGTTTTTGTTCACCCCTAACTCGACGAGGTTCAACGCAGGGGAATGAGACCCAGTAGCGGATGGTTCGCGCCCGCACTCTGTATCGGAGGTGATACTATACACGTCGAGGCTGGAGCTCCTGGTTCGACTCCGGGCTGGGTCATGATCGGAGCAGTTTTTTTCTCTCGCTTTCGTCCGTCGCTGATTATCCCTAACCTGCTTGAAGAGGTTCCAGAGTAGGGGGATAAGACACAGTAGCGGATGGTTCGCGCCCGCACCGTGTATATACGGACACTGGCGAGTTTGGCGGCGGGAGGTCCTGGTTCGACCCCAGGCTGGGTCATAGTCCGGCGTTGAGAAGATTTTTTCTCCCTCCTTCATCTGTCGCTGATTAACCCGTAGCCCACCAGACGAGGTTTAGAACTAGGGGGATGAGACCCAGCAGCGGACGGTGACCCGCGACATGTATGCAGTGTCAAACTCTCGCAGCGGGTAGCCCTGGTTCGAGTCCAGGCTGGGTCATACCTCGTGCAGCGACATTTTTTATCTCTTTGGTCCATCGCTGATCATCCCTTAGCTCACTCAACGAGGTTTAGCACAGGAGGGAGAGGACCCAGTAGCGGAAGGTACCGCGCCCGCACCGTGTACATATAGCACATCGTTCTGTAGCAGGGGAGCCCTGGTTCGACTCCAGGCGGGGTCATAGTCCGGCGTTGAGAAGATTTTTTCCCCCTCCTTCATCTATCGCTTATTCTCCCATGGCTATTCGAAGACGTTCCAGAGTAGGGAATGAGACCCAGTGGCGGATGGATGGTCCGCGCCCGCACTGTATGGATGAAGAGATTTAGAGGCTATAAGCATCGCAGCGGGAGCTCCTGGTTCGACTCCAGGCTGGGTCATGGACACTTCTTGGTGATTGATTATTCCTTTTGACAGTCGTGGCGTGGTTCATCGCTGATTATCCCGTATTCCACGGACTCGAGGTTTTCCATCAATTACATAATTTCCTCGTTCATGGTACTTATGACAGCCGCCTCATGTCAATTTAGCGCCGCGACTGGCGCTAGCTCATTGGCTGCAGGGAGGCGACTCCAGCTCACTTGAAGACGTTCAATTCGGCATAAACTGAGACCCAGTGGCGGACGGTACCGCGCGCGCATCGTATGGATAAGTACCCACAGTGGTATAGCAGCGGAGATCCTGGTTCGACTCCAGGCTGGGTCATAATCCGTTGTTGAGCACTTCTTTTCTCTCTCTTTCGTCTATCGCTGATTATCCCTTGCTTGAGGAGGTTCCAGAGTAGGGAATGAGACCCAGTGGCGGATGGATGGTCCGCGCCCGCACCGTATGGATGAAGAGATTTAGAGGTTATAAGCATCGCAGCGGGAGCTCCTGATTCGACTCCAGGCTGGGTCATATTTGATGGTGTGGAACAATTCTTTTTTCTCGTCATGTTCCTTCTTAGGCCCTGATTCCCCCGTAGCCCCTCGAAGAGGTTCCGAACTAGGGGAATGAGATCCAGTAGCGGACGGGACCCGCGACATGTATGAAGTGTCAAGCTCTCGCAGCGGGTAGCCCTGGTTCGATTCCAGGCTGGGTCATGTCGGAGGAACAGTCGTTTTCTCTCGCTTTCGTCCATCGCTGATCATCCCGTAGCCACTCGAAGAGGCTCAATTCAGCAGAAATGAGACCCAGTAGCGCACGGCCACGCACCCGCACCTCTGGAACATTCGAGGTATGGCAGCGGGAGATCCTGGTTCGAGTCCAGGCTGGGTCATACTCCGTGGCAATCATTTTCTCTCTCTTTCATCTATCGAGGATCATGCCGTAGTGCACTCGAAGAGGTTCCGGACTAGGGAAATGAGACCCAGTGGCGGACGGTACCGCGCCCGCACTGTGTATTGATGTATCGTCGCATCAGCGGGAGGTTCTGGTTCGACTCCACGCTGGGTCGTGATCGGAGAAACAGTTTTTTTCTCTCGCTTTCATCTATCTAGGATCATCCCGTAGCGCACTCGAAGAGGTTCCGGACTAGGGAAATGAGGCCCAGTAGCAGACGGTCCGCGCGCCCACATCGTGTATTGGCGTCTCGTCGCATCAGTGGGAGTCTCTGGTTCGACTCCAGGCCGGGTCATATTTAATTCGAGTTGCGGCGACTTTTTTTTTTTGGCTCTCAATGCTTGTTGTGCCTGCATATCTGAGGCGACGTAGGCGGGTGAATCCGACAGAGACCGTCGCCGCGGCCCTCCCAGCCTTGATGTATTTGAATGCTAGCATTAGCGAGCTTCTCCTTGAGCCCTTGCTGCGTTTGCAGAACTCATCGGCGTGTACAAATCCATATGCGGCCTCTGATTTGGGTGAGACATCTCAACATCACGAATGCACATGATTTATATTCTGCCCTCAATTACAGGTCCGTCTTACCCGCTCGCGGGCGGATATAATGCACAGAACGAAGGCGTGTATGCGGTCGAAAGTAATCGCTTTCCTCTCGTTGGATGAAGGGAAATTCATCGAGATCTTCATTCCTCAGATTCTGGAAATATGCTCGTGCTCGTACTGGCGCATGCCAGCACTTCGGGCGATGAATCCCTGATCGCCAAATATGCAAGTTCTTTCAAAGTCTCTGTTGGAAGACCCTCACTTTATCCGCTGCAGTATACCTTGGTGAAACACTGGGCCGAGTATCTTGTCACCAATGCGTTGATTCCTGCACAGCAGTATGTCTCTTTCGCATGTTCGATCTAGAATCACGTATCCGCACTCCCAGGACGCCTGCCGATGCCCGGGGCACCACGCTCGGCCAGAATCACGGCAATTTAAACGAATCTGGCAATCAAAGGCATAATCGCGATACAGGCCATGGCTGAGATGAGCCAGATCATGGGTGAAACAGCGAATGCCGAAAGATACAATGTATGTTAACTGTGGGCGCCCTCCTGGGTGCCGCGGGTACCTTACGTAACATAGTGCGCTGGGTACCCCGCTGATGGGATTTCCTTTTCGGGCGTGATAGCCGCTTTCGGCACCACCAAACGGGCAGAACGGCGCGTTTGGGGCCCTCGATCGAGGTAATGCCGAACGGTGATGTCCCGAAGGCCTCGTTTGAGCTTTCCCTCGGCTGTCACACTGCGGATCCTCGATCGAGGAACGGGGAATGCACGTTCGGCGACCCGATTTGGCTTGTCCCCGATCAGCTTAGGAGGTGGGCGTCGCTTGTCTGTTTCTCTCCTGTTTCTCTCCTCACCTACCTCCCTCCCACTGCAATGGAAAGGCCTTACAAGGCAGACGACCTGTGCGCTCTATTCGCATCTGAAAACCACTGATCGCTGAAACTTATATATCCAGGGCAGCATTGAAACGGCCTGAACTCGTTGGTCTCATCAGGCGTGAAATTGCGAAATGGCCGTTTACAGAAGGCAGACTCAAGAAGGAAAACATGGACAGCATGAAGGCGATACTCCTTGACGTGAAATATGGCTTTAGCACCCTCGATTCATCTACGTCTGGTGCAGGCCTGGGTAATCTAGGACCTCCAGCAATAAACAATGTTTCGAACGGTATTTAACTCAATATCTCATCGTTTAAATCTCATTCCCACTCAGCCGCAGTCCCATCATCGTCCCCTGCTACCCTTCCGGATAGTTTTCGCAGAGATGAACCTGCAAGCTCACCTAATCAAATTGGTAAGATAGTCTTAACTCGTTGAAAAATGTTGATGAATTGCGCAGGTTCTACGGCTGATATCAAAGGAATTCAGCTGTTAATTGATGACCGTCGCTCGGCATTCTCTCCGGAAAATACTTCTCAACGCGTCGACGTCAGAGTAATCGCTGTCGATGGTGACACGGGTCAATGGCGCGCCGATGCGTTAGAAATCTTCTCGGCCCTCCAGAGTTCCATAGGAAAATTGAGTGGTGAGTACTCATCTTCGCTCTCTCTTGCGTCTGTCTCTGATTTTACCGAGGCTCCGGACGTATCGGTGTTCCTGATCGCATCGATTCAACCTACACAGAATATTTTCTGGGAATGAAAGCCGGGGAGCCCATCAAGAGCGACCTACCGGAGCCGAAACTGCTTACTATCCCCGAGAATAATCGGTTGAATCTTCGCGTTCACCGTGTTAGTCTGCCCATCTCGCATCAACACCTTTCTGACGCAGTTGCCAGATGTTACCTAGTCGTGACGACAGTCCAGCAGCGGACCGGGCTGCACAGGCGGCGTTTCAAACACTAATTGAAGAGCCCGAGGCTGTTCATTCAACCACAACAGCGTCAGCGCCTACTTACAACGGATCAGCCCGAACTCGTATCAAGCCGCCAAGTGAAGCGCAAGTTGTATGGCTGAAGGAGAAAATCGGTCATCGTCCTGGGTATGCGAAATTCAACACGAACCGGAAACAGGGTTCTGCAGAACATTGACCGGGTAGAGTCCTGGCGGTTTGTCTCTGATGTCAATGAAGTCTTCTACAAACAGAAGTCACCGGATGCCATTTCCGTGAAGGTAAGTCTTGTTCGCATGTTTGTTTGCACTCGCAATTCTCACAGCCTATAGATGATTTCTAAAAGCGCTATCCAGGCAGCCCTTGAAATCGGCTCCACCTCGCTATCTGAAGCTGTCCAGATGATTAACATCATCAACGCTTATATAGCTCCTGGGCCGAATTTCAGCCAGCAAGTTGTGGATGAGATCAACAAATCCGACGAAGCTGAACCGAAAGCTGCTGAACTAAAGGGCTTCCTCATAGAATGGGCAGAGAGTCATGTCATCGACGTCTAGATGTTGAATGTATTTTTTGTAGTCTGTTTTGGTTTTTGCTCGAAGTTGATTTATGTTCTTCCATTTGACTGTGTGATGAGTCCAGGACAGATCGATCCCATTATTATGTATATTCTATGCAATTATACCAGCTGATTCTCGCTCAGCATTGCGAAGCCCGGTTGACAACAGCTTTCGCCGGCCGGTGTAAACACTGCACAAACAACATGTTCGAGACCTCGGTGCGGGAACCACTGAGTTTCCTGTGAGTTTCCCGACCCGGAATTTTGTAAGAGTACCGTCAATATGTGCTAGAACCCCCAGAAATAGTCGGTAAAGTGGAAACTTGAAGTTGTGATTGACTTTGAACACTTCTCTACTGCGGGAGATGACACTGCACAACCAAAATGTTCGTGACCTCGGCGTGGGATCCACTGATTTATTCGACCCGAAGCGTTGGGATAGGACCATTTAGAAGTGCTAGAAACACCAGAAATAGCTGGTGCATCAAAATCTCGAAGTCTCGGGCGGCATTGAACGGCTTTCTCTGGCGGGTGCAAACACTGCACAAACACAATGTTCGTGATCTCGGTGCAGGAACTACTCATTCATTCGGCCTGAAGTTTTGTAAGAGCACCATCTCGAACTGCGAAAAGCCCCAGAAATGGCTGGACAGCCCTTTCCCCTATGCGCAATGTGTTCGGGGATCATCAAAATCTGATCCTCCGCGGACAAGCGGAATGGTTCAGGTTATTTGACCTCAGATTTTACATTCAACCACTTAGAGAAATCATTTGAGGGTATGAGTAACAGTCTGATAATGTGTTCGAATTAGAGCGAGGGATTCCGCAGTATGAGTGCAGAGAATTGGAGCTTTCACATTATTCTCTAGCGTGGACATGTTTTTTTGTGAAGGTAAATGCGCAAGTAAATGAACTAATGAATAAAGCTATGGGAACGGAGAAACACTGCATTGGGGTTACCCTTCTTCTGGAGATAATCGCAAAATGCCCGGGTCGTTCGGAACTCGCCACCGTTCTCGTAAGTTTCCCGAATGAAACGGAGAGCAAGCTCCAAGTTCCAGTTGGGCTTTGAAGTGAGACGGTTGATGAGTTCGATGACCCGGGTTCGTCGGCTCGATTCGCTTTTGATCTTGTTGGCGTCGCGCTTCCATTTCGCATTCCAACCTTCATTCAACTCCCGCACCGATAAGAACCCGTTGAGCCCGGCCGACCACTCGACCCAGATGTCCGTAATTTTGGGAACGGGTTGGAAAGAGTAAAGAGGAAGGAATGAGTTCGATTTCTCGACCCATTCCCACTGGTGCCGCCGCAAGCGAGCGTCACTGTACCTGAGGGCTAGGAGATTCCATGCCATCGTCTGAGAAACAGTGAATCCGGATACATTCGTAGCCGGTGGTGTTGGCGCATGCAGGGATTCCGGAAGAGAAGGGGGAGCGGTGACAG